CGCCGGCTGCTGTGCTGCCTGGCGAGGACCGCCCTCTCTCTGCCGTGACCGGATCGCATCCCAGTCCGGCACAGCTAGGACCAAGAGAGACCCTGTGCAAGGGGAGGGTTCGATCTTAGATCCTTGGGTAAGGAGAGTTGAGACGGCGGAGTCAGGTTCCCTTATGCACTGCCGCCGCCTTTGGCCAAACCTGGACAGAAACTTATCTTGTTAAGGGAGTAAGCGGTTCCAGTAATCCAGCTCTCAAGCTGCTAAGAGGAAGAAAGTACTCCCCGCCCAGTCTGAAAATCTATCCATCCAGACAGTGTGGGGAGCCCCAGGCTGCCAAGGCTTCCTCGCTGGCAGACCACGGAGCGCCTCCATCCTTAGCAGCAGGCCGGCCCCCCCCTGCCAGGCGGGCCGGCGCCTTCGCCCTCTGCCTGCAGGCCTTTCTCCCCTGCTAGAGGCGCTCAGAGCAGAAGGGCTCCTTGTTCCGCGCAGAGCTCAGCCCCAGGTTGCAGCAGAGGGGATCAAAGTCTCTCCTTTCAGCGTGGGGCTCACCTGGGCCCTCTGGGACGGCCTTCCCCACAGACCTGCCCCGGGAGGACTCCAGCAGCCGTGGGGCCCCTGGCCTGTCTGTCTATCCCACAGTATTGGACCAAGCAGTGACAGCAAGCTGAGACGTTATTGAAAGGTAAAGTCGGCCGGGCGCGGCGGCTCACGCCTGTAATCCTAGCACTCTGGGAGGCCGAGGCGGGCGGATTGCTCCAGGTCAGAAGTTTGAGACCAGCCTGAGCAAGAGCGAGACCCCGGCTCTACTATAAATAGAAAAAAATTAATTGGCCAACTCATATACATAGAAAAAATTAGCCGGGCATGGTGGCGCATGCCTATAGTCCCAGCTACTCGGGAGGCTGAGGCAGGAGGATTGCTTGAGCCCAGGAGTTTGAGGTTACTGTGAGCTAGGCTGAGCCACGGCACTCTAGCCTGGGCAACAGAGTGAGACTCTTTCCCCCCCCAAAAAAAAGAAAAAAAAAGGAAACAAAAAAAGAGAGAGAGCTTGATTGCAAAATCAGGAAGAAGTGAAATAGGGCTTGTGACTTTTTATTGCAGGATTTAATAAGTCAGACATCCATTGTTTCATTCCTTTCCTAATACTTTGAAAAGTAGAAGTTACCTCCAACACTATTACTGAACCATGGAGTAGTATATTTTTTTACATGCTGTCAACCATTTCTATAATAATTTGGGAGTATGTGAATTTTTTCTCTTTCATTTGGATGTTTGGCAATGTGTAGACTAAAAGTTAAGTCTGTCAGATATTGATTAGTTCCATTAACACATTGAAATTTGATAGTACTTACTTGTTTATTAAAGCTGAATTCATTCCTGAAAATCTTTTCTAAGACTAGGTAAAGATGAGTAACCAGTCTCACTTTTTAAAAATAATTCATTCATGTGATTGAGAAGAACTTAATTATAACCCGTATGTTTGGATTACTTCTTAGGTCTCTTTGATGACCTTTCATTTAGAAAGCTAAAGGCATTTATAGGTTTGAAATTTTTAAAATACAATAAAAGAAGTGCTTTTTCAATAACAGATGAAATGGTAGATTAACAACCGAAATGCAAAATTTTAGGTGAAGCTAAAGTTCTTTAACATTCTTTAAGTCTTCTCTAATTTAGATTTCTGATATATTTTAGATTCCCCATGCTAATTATTTTCCTCTTGACCATGAAGGAGCTCAATATTGTTCATGGGACTTCACGGGACAAAGGTTTTGTCAATCCTGAGAAATCATCATCCCATCCTAACATATAACTCCACAAACTTGACATTATTTTCCTCCTCAATAACAGGAAAACCAGGCAAAACCTGTTATGTTTCAAAATCTTTTCAAAGTGAAGCTGAAGTGTAAAACTAGATCTAAAATCAAATACACAACAAATGGGAGAAACATAAAAAGGAGAGACAGAAAAGATGTGAAAGTGTATGTAAAAAATCTACGAATGTTCAAAGGATGTACAATATTTGAAAATAAATGTATTTTAATCATGTTCGCCTTGCAGCTAACAATGCTTTTCCACTACCTGTCATCAGGAGCAATCATTCTCTGGGAGAAACACTCTTTTGCAGTCCCATAGTCATTTGCATAAAGAAGTTGCATATTATGCATACATGGGGTTGGCAACACGACAAATATTCAAGCAATATAGGACACACTTAATCATTTAACCTCAGTGAATGCTTATTTTGAAATTGTAATTTTCCAAACTAAAAAGGTCTTGGGTTGCATTCCCAGAAATATGTACTTTGAAAATATTTCCTAGGTTAAAATAATTATTTAAGCACCTAAATCTCTGTATTCCCAGCAAGAAAACAAAAGTGGAACTACCTGAGCATGGCCATGCATTTATGCATGCAATGATTTTCCAAAGAGTTCGTCATAAATTCAGCCCCTAAATTTATTCCAAGTATTTGCATGCTTAAATAACGAAAGGCATTCCATTTTTAAGATGTTCTCTTTCTCGCACAGAGGGATGGATTAACTGAGAATGTATATATTTTAAGTTTCTTTCTCCTTTACGTTGAGAAGATATTATGAGAATTTAGCATTTAGTGGGGATTGTTGTGAATACCACAAGAAAGTGATGCCTCCTTTAAGGAAAATCTTGCAAGAGCACTCTGTTTTAGCACACCCTTCAGGTACATCCCTATTAATAATTTTCAAATAATAATATTTTCAAATAATATTTTATATCTTATTTTATTTTTCTTTTAAAATAATTTTCAAATTGGGAACAACCCAACCTTCTTTCTAAAGTTGTTCTCTTGCCTAGAATGTAAACTACTAAGGTACTTCTGTAGGGTGAGACCCTGAGCCCTTAAAATAGATACAGTTAGGAAGAAGATGTGTAACCACACCAGACCAATCTGGTTCAACTTTTATGTAACTAAGTGGTGAGTTGTTTTTCAGTTGCTAAGGACCTCCAGTTTGAAGGTCACAGTAACCTGAAATGCACCCATGGACAAAACCTAAGTGCTCCAATCAGATTGAGCCCTGGCATCACCCCATGGTCAGATCCAGTCAGATCATGCCTCCGGGCATCACCTCATTGCAAGATCTAATCAGATCACACCTCATTACGCTATGCTTATAAAATCTGACCTAGTCCCCAGCTTGGGTAAACAGATTTGAGAGTTTTCTCCTCTCTTCTTGCCAGTTGATTGGAAATAAAATAAAGAGCTTCCTTTCTCATGGGCTAGTGCCGTGGTATTGGCTTCTATGCGCATGGGACAGCAAGCCAATTGATTGCTTGGCAACGTGCATCACGGGTAAATTGCAAATGCACACCAAATAGGAGTTGTGCTCTTCCTAGTGCAACCTCATAGCATCTCAGTGTCCAGGCTGGTTTTCCTGTGGTCCCCAGCTTGGTGCCTGGCCTTGGAGACTGGGTTCTTACTAGAGGTTGGGCAATTCACTGACCTTTTGGTGCTTGTGCTGGAGATAGGCAGGTAGTCCATGACAGCGATGTACACATACTGCTTGGCATCATCAATCACACTGTAGATGGCATCTATGTCAAAGCTTCTGTTTTTAGGGCAAAAGAGTTTGGGAGAATTCTGTGAAGATACAAAAGCCAGACTTTTAGAGTATTAGTTTTTTGGCATCTGGGGATTTTTTTGTTTTCATGGGTCTAGGCTTGTAACTGAACTTTTGCAAACCTACTTTCTGGTTCTTGGTCAAATTAGACAAGGATATTTTCAGTCTTACCAAAGTTGAGTAGAGATCGAGGTATGCTGGGATGGATCTCAAGTCCGTTCCTAAAGTCTGTTTTAGGATAGAATCCTTGATTTCAGTACACACACCTCTGCTTTTTGGAGGACACTCAACTTCAACCATATGTGATTCTGTGGTACCTCCCTGTCACTCATAGCTGTTAGTTTCTCAAGTATTAACCACAAGTACATATACATATAGCAAGTCATTTACCTCAGAACTCAATTTCATTTGAAAGGTGATGTGGCCATGAAAATGTTCAAGACATAAAATCTAAAAATCTTAGAGTTTTTTTCCCCAAATCTTTCACTGAATCAGGAAGAGGAGTGTTGATTGTTGAGAAAGGGCCATCAATAATTCTACAGTAAAAACTGGGTGAGTTATTAAAATGCCTGAATTCATTAGGAGAGTCAGAGAAGAAGGATGTTCTGAAAAACTTATGCAAAATGAAAAAAGAGTCAAATTCTGCTAGAGGTATTTTTCTCAAGTTGCTTGAGGTGGTTTTCATCTTATAAAAAATGATGTTTTTAGATGCAGTTGCTAAAAGGGAAAGAGGTACTTGGTTTTCTTATTTTTCCACTGGACAGGACTAGAAATAATGTTTCTCATAATTCCTGTTTTACTTTGACAAGTAATACACTATGGCAAGCCTAGGAGCACAAATAATGCAAAGCTTGCTTAATACCAAAAGGCTGAATACACAGTTTCTGGAACCATCTGGAATGAATGGCAGTGCTGGGTGGTCAGAGTCCCTCTTTACCAAGTCATGTTCTGGAATAACTTAAAGGATAGTGAAATGATGCTCTTGGATTGGACGCCCACCTTAGAGAACACATGAGGTTCAAGAAAGAGCATGTCAAAAGAAACACACTCTCCAGGTGTCCCTGCCCAGAAAGTCCTCTTGGTAGGATACGTTTTTTTTTTTTTTTTTTTTTTTTTAGACAGAGTCTCGGTTTGTTGTCCAGGCTAGAGTGAGTGCCGTGGCGTCAGCCTAGCTCACAGCAACCTCAATCTCCTGGGCTCGAGCGATCCTTCTGCCTCAGCCTCCCGAGTAGCTGGGACTACAGGCATGCGCCACCATGCCCGGCTAGTTTTTTATATATATATCAGTTGGCCAATTAATTTCTTTCTATTTATAGTAGAGACGGGGTCTCGCTCTTGCTCAGGCTGGTTTTGAACTCCTGACCTTGAGCAATCCACCCGCCTCGGCCTCCCAAGAGCTAGGATTACAGGCGTGAGCCACCGCGCCCGGCCGAGGATACGTTTTTGACTGTTTATTTTCCCTTTGGAATTAGGATGAGCTTCCAAGTCTTGGGGGTGGGGGAAGCTAGTCCTACACTCTTTCCCCAGCACACAAAATATACAGATACTCCATCAGTCACCAAAACAGATAGCTTGTGCTTCTGTCTGTCCCTCCTTCTCACTCCTGATTGCCATTTCCCTCATTCGGACACTAGTGCTGCTTGCAGGGACTTTATAATATCTTCCAAACTCATTGCCTTATAAACAAACACTTGTCACTCCCAGGATGAACTGAATCCCGGTCTCTCGGAATCCAGTCTGAACGCCTTGTATCTCTGGTCCCCTGTCTCTGCCTCCCTCATTTTCCAGCTACCATGCTGTCTTTGCCCCCAAACTGAAATAGTCACCAGTCCATGGCTGTACCTTCATCTTGTCTGCCTCAGGGCATTTGCTTATGATGCTGGCCCCTGCGGCTGATAATGTTCCCTTCCTTTTGCCCATCAAAGTCCTATTCATTCTGTCCTCTAAATTCTAGTTCAAACATGAACTCCTCCATGAAACTTTTTAAATATCTCCAACCAGATGTCTCATCTTTGTATTCCCATACTATTTTTTTCTTTTTCTTTTTTTCTTAACAATTTTTAAGTGTACAGTTCAATTGCATTAAATACATTCCTATTGTTGTGCAGCCACCACCACCATCCACCTCCGGGACTCAGTTATTTATTTTCAGCATTTCCAAATTTATTATAATTACTTGCACGGGCCTCATCTCCTCGGTTAGAACTGCTATCAGCTTGACTACAGGGGTCGTGTTCTATTCATTTTCCTATACCATTAAAAAATTAAATATTCAAATTATTTAGTCCTCTCAGTCTGTTGAGTCTGCTTTAAACATGCTTTGGGTTAATTTGGGGAAGCTGAGGCTCTTAGCTCTGGATGGTCTCTAGCGAGCCCAACTCTGAAATGTGTCCAATGGCTTACCTTTGGGTTTCAGTTAGGAACTTGCTGAATTTCGCTGTGTTCCCAAACTGGATTTTGTTTTGGGAGAGGTACAAATTTAAGCAAAGAGTTGTTGGTGGCTTCTTTATATTTGCTACTATCTTACCAGTTTGGATACCATGCTAGAAATCTAGAGGAAAGAGCTAGGGCTTTAGTGACACAGGTCAGATTCCAGCGCTTGAACCTGAGATGTCTCAGCGTGCCCCTTACACTTTTGGAACCTCTGCTTCCTAATGGGGTTGACAACAATAACACACCTTCCACACTGGCTTGCTGTGCGGCTCAATTAAGACAACGGCTTGTTCCCTGGCTGAGTTCTGTGCTTGCTTTCATTCATCAGCAAATATTCCTAAGTGCCTGCCATGTCCAAGACCCTGGTCTAGGCATGTGACACACATAAGTGATCAAGACAAGATCCCTGGCTGATTGTGATGGCTCATGTCTGTAATCCTAGCACTCTGGGAGACCGAGGTGGGAGGATCACTCAAGGTCAGGAGTTCGCAACCAGCCTGAGCAAGAGCAAGACCCCTGTCTCTACTAAAAATAGAAAGAAATTAATTGGCAAACTAAAAAATATATATAAATAAAATATATATAATATAATATATATGTAATATATATTATATTATATATTATATTATATATATTATATATAAAAAAATATATATATATACATATAAAATTAGCCGGGCATGGTGGTGCATGCCTGTAGTCCCAGCTACTTGGGAGGCTGAGGCAGAAGGATTGCTTGAGCCCAGGAATTTGAGGTCGCTGTGAGCTAGGCACTATAGCCCAGGCAACAGAGTGAGACTCTGTCTCAAAAAAAAAAAAAAAAAAAAGACAAGATCCCTGCTTTGTGGAGCTGCATTCTAGCACATGTTATATGGCCTCACATTCATTTGTCTATGGTGTCTGTCCACTTGATTGTGAGCTGCTTGGTGGTGTATCTCTTGCATCTCATGCCATAAACACATTATATGCTCAATAAACATTTGTGGAATGAATGTGAAAGTACTTCATGAATTCATAAGGATTGGAGGTTTCTTTGACCCTCGACCTCCACTTCTAGTTGGGGTTGCTTCAATCTAGGTGTTTCCAGACATGTGTGAACAGATCTTTACTGGCACTTGTTGCCTTGTTGTTTCCTATGTTCCCGTTGCCTAGCTCAGAGCCTTGACCATGGCAGTGAGGGCTCCATGTGTTTCCCAAGGAAATGCAAGATTATCTGTAATAGTCCCCTTCTACCTGGGGCATGTGTTCCAGAGTCCTCTACCTTTATAAAACAGTGTCTAGACATACCAATGGTTTAAAAATGTTTGCTAAAAGTATAAATGAATGAACAATAACACAAAAGAATAATCTGGCAAAGGAAGTTAACTAGTTCCAACTGTTTAATTAGAGCGAAAGCTGGTAAGTTTTCTTCTTAGCACTCCTGAATTAATTTTCTAAGCCTTGCTTTATGTACTTCTTTATTACATAGTAAAGTAGGAGAGGGAAAACACAGATCCTCTTCAATATTCCAGCTCTGTGATCATCTTTTACCAATCAAGAGCTCTTGAGGCATTTGGCTTCTAGGTTAATCTAGGTTTGTCTCTTAGATCCATAAGTACCTTATATATGCACATAATTTACTTTGCATACTCATTATATAGTTGCCTTGTATAAGACCTTAGCAGGTTTCTCATTCATTTTATAACAGCTTCCTGGTTTTTAAAACAATCTAAGTTTATACTCAATTTTTAGAATATACATGTTAAAATGTAATTAGATATGAAAAGACAACCCATGGAATGGGAGAAAGAAAATCTTTGCAAATCATATATTTATGATGGATGCAGTGGTTTGTGCCTATAGTCGCAGATACTCAGGAGCCTGTGGCTAGAAGATCATCAGAGCCCAGGAGTTCAAGTCCAGCCTGGGCAATATAGCAAGATCCCATCTCTAAGCAAAACAAAACAAAACACCAAAATAAAAAAGTCACATATATCTGATTAAGGGAATTGCATACAGAATGTATAAAGACCTCTTACAATTCAATTAAAGGAAACCTTAATTTAAAAATGGACAAAGGATTTGATAGATAGTTCTCTAAAGAAGATATACAAATGGCCAATAAGCACATTAAAAAGATGCAAATCAAAACAACCATGAGATTCCATTTCACACACACTAGGAGGGCTAAAACAAGGCAGAAAATAACAAATGTTGCCAAGCATGTGGAAAAATTGAAACTCATGTATTGCTGGTGGGATCGTAAAATCGTGCAGCCAATTTGGAAAACAGTCCGATAGTTTCACAAAATGTTCAATTTAGAGTTACTACATTATCCAGAAATTCCGTTCCTAAGTATAAACTCCAAACAACTTAAAAACAGACATTCAAATAAAAACCTGTACATGAATATTCATGGCAGCACTATTTACAATAGCCAAAGAGCAGAAACACTCAAATGTCCATCAACTAATACATAAGCCAAATGGGGTGTAGCCACATGATGGAATACTATTATATTTGGTTATAAAAAGGAATGAAAGAAATAGTGATCCATGCTACAAACATGGATGAACCCTGAAAACATTATGCTGGGTGAGAGAAGCCAGTCACAAAAGCCTACATATTATATGATTCCATTTATATGAAATATCCAGAAAAAGGCAAATCCATAAAGAAAAAATAGATTAGCAGTTGCCAGGGACTGAAGGAAGAGGAAAATAGACAGTGACTGCTAATGAGTATGGGGTTTTTCTTTGTGGCCAAAAAAATGTTCTAAAATTATATAGTGAAGATAGTTGCAAAACTGTGATTATACTAATCCCCACTGAAAGGTGAATTTTATGGTATGTAAATTATATCTCAATAAAGCTGTTAAAAATATAATTAACAATATATGCTGGACATTCTAAAGAGGAACCCGATGTGGTATTTTTCCCCAAGCAGCACCAAGTTCTATTCAACGTCCGCCCTCACTCACTAAATATATCTTAGTATACATGACTGATGCGTGAACGAACTGAACCATGGACAACAAGAAAGGAAATCTAACACCTAGATCAATAAAAACAGACCTTGAACTAACTAGTCTTTATCTTGGAAAGCAAATGTATAATCTTAAGGGCTCTAAAAAGAAATCTACAAGACAGAAATTTGACCAACTATTGTTCCCATCTTCTGATTTCAGTGGGAAATGTAAGAAAATTAGAATTATTTGACCCTAAGTTACTAGAAATCACATACTTAAGTGTCTATTTGTGTTCCATGAGAAAATTAGAAATAATCTCTATTTATCTATCATAAATTAAAATTCATATTTAACTATGGTAAGTTATTAATTATCTATAATAAAATCTAATTTGGGGAATGGTTATTCTTCAAATATTCTTTTTGTGTGTGCTCAGTTTAGTCTTGGGACTGTCAGCTTATAAAAATATAATATACTATTTTAAGATTTTTACAACAAATATATTGAATTTAAATAAATTAGTCCTGGCATTTGTTTGGCATCTGTTACTGAGAAAACTGTACACATTCTGGAACTTTCTATTAATATTACTGGTAATAAAACCAATCCAACATTTATTGCTGCTTTTAGAGAGCATGAGTGAGGTGCTAGGAATACCAATGATGAAGAGAATATATTAATAGTATACGATCTTCAGAATCTAATAAAATAGTGGGAAAGATGATTACAAACAAATAGGTATAAAAATGTGATAAATATTACAGTAGAGGTGAGCTCAAGGAGCTCTTTCTGAATGATACCAATTCCAATTGCAAGGGCTTTCTACATTTTTATACTTATAAGATTTTATACCTCTTCAAAAATGGTGTCCAATCAATATCTGCTGAATTAAAATTCAAAGGTAGGCTTGATATTATTAATAGGAAATAGAAGATAAAATAATAAGTTAAAATAAATAAATAGAAAACAGCATTATGTAGTTTAAGAAGAAATGTTTCACAACTCATGTTGTGGTAAACTCTTTAATGAAAAACAACTTGTGAATTTGCCCTAGAATACAATAAAGGCGCAAGATAGATTTTACTAAAGGCCTGTGGCCACTCTCTGTGTCAGATATATTAACTTTATCTTTTTTTTTGAGACAGTGTCTCACTTTGTTGTCCAGGCTAGAGTGAATGCCTGGCATCAGCCTAGCTCACAGCAACCTCAAACTCCTGGGCTCAAGCGATCCTCCTCCCTCAGCCTCCCGAGTAGCTGGGGCTACAGGCATGTACCACCATGCCCAGCTAATTTTTTCTATATAATTTTAGTTGGCCAATTAATTTCTTTCTATTTATGATAGAGACGGGGGTCTCGCTCTTGCTCAGGCTGGTTTCGAACTTCTGACCTTGAGCAATCCGCCTGCCTCGGCCTCCCAGAGTGCTAGGATTACAGGCATGAGCCACCCCGCCAGGCTCAGATATGTTAACTTTAGAATTAACAAAAAGGGACTCCTTCCCTTTTTGGTCAAAGGGTCCCCAGAAATACCCTAAAGCTGAGTTGCTGGCCGTGAGAAGGGAGGTCAGACAGACATGCCTTGTCATGCCCCATGCCTGTTCCCTTCTTGCAGACACCCTTTGTAACTCACTAACAGGTTTAAAGCTATAGAAGACAAAGCTTAAATTACACCTGCAGGCCATCAATTTACTCAACAGATGACTTGTCATGTGGCTTGTCTCTAATTAACAGACATCCTTAAGTTAAAACATTCCAAGCCTTTAGACAAAGCTCTGTTTCTTTAACCAATTACAGATCAAACCAATTACAGATCAAAGAATCTTTAAACCCACCTATAACCTATAATGCCTTGCTTCCAGACGTCCTGCCTTTTCAGACCAAACCACTTTGTGTGATGTGTGCCCTCCATATATTGACTTAGGGTCTTAACGTGTAATGCCTGTCTCCATGAATGTGTAACACCAAACTGCAACCTAGGAGACAGGCACATTTTCTCAGGATCTCTTGAAGCCATGTGCTCCGGGCTGGTCACACACATTTGGCTCAGAATAAACCTCTTTAAGTTATTTTACAGAGTTTGGGTTTTTTCCCACTAACATTTGTCTATTTCTTGCTGCTTCCAATCTATTCTACCTGCCTGAGCAAGTGTCCCTTGCTTGGGGTGTCATGTTGCCCTGTTACCAGCTGGATTAAGGGGTTTTTGGCAAATTTTCTATTGCTGCTCACCTACAAATTTGGGAGTACTAGCTGATCTTCTGGTCTTACAGGGTCATTTCAAAATGAAATGAAAATGTACATATGAAATAATTTTGTTAGGAAGAATGCAATATGCTACTTCCTACTTCATTCTATGAATACAAAAACCAAAGTTATTTGAACTTTGTGAAAATCCTTCATAGTCTGTTTTCTGTTATTTGCATTTATGTGATTTTATTATTTAAGACAAACAACTTCGACTTCTTCTTTTCCTATTAGTGTTACATTTCTAAATTTTCAGATTGTACTTTCCTGTAAATAGGCAAAAACGATACAATTCACTCTTCAATAAATGCTCTTTAGGGATGTAAAAGGTATTGGCATAAAAGCAAGTTGAAAAAAAGCATAGAAAGCAAGTTGTAAAAGGTGATTGGCATATCAATCAAGGGAGAAATAGCGATTTTAAATCGGAAGCCTGGTTTACAGAAGTTCGTCTGATCATCAGGTTCAATTCAGAAGCTTGATTCAAATAAAAAATCCAAGGTCTCATCCCAGATGCACTGGATCAGATCCTGGTGGGGGCTGGGAGAACTTTAAATCTGCATTTTGAACAGGCTCCTACCTGATTCTTACGGACTCTACGGTTTGAGGACTAGGGCTGTGGGTCTAGATTTTCGCGTTGTCCGTTCTCAGGAACTGCGGGACAGCTGTGCTGTGTGGGCAGTGGGCGTTAACTGGGGAGGGGAGGGTGGGTGTGGGGTGTGGCTGCTGGTTCTCAGAGGAGCCAGAGGCCTGGAACCCCTGCCAGGAGCCTTGTCCTACTGCGCGGGCCTCTTGCCCTTCAGCCCCAGCCAGGCACAGCAGCTCTGCTTTTGTCTGTTTCATACCCTGGGATTCCCTCAGGTTCGCCTCATCCAAGAGTTCTACTTTTAAAAACAAGTCTGCGCAGCACAGTTCACAATTGCAAAAGATGTGGAATCAACCTAAGTGCACTTTGATTCATGAGTAAACAAAGAAAATGTGGTGTATCTATACCACGGAGTACTACTCAGCCATAAAAAGGAATGAAATAACGTTATTTGCAGCGATGTGGATGGAAATGGAGACTGTTATCTTAAGCAATGTATCTTGGGAATGGAAAATCAAACTACATGTTCTCACTAATAAGTGGGAGCTAATAGATGGGTACACATGGGCACAAAGCGGTATAAAGGACACAAGAAACCAAAAAGCAGGGAGGGTGGGAGGGCAGGTAGGGGATAAAAATTCACGTATTGGGTACAATGAACACTACTTTTGTGATGGGCACACCAAGATCCCTGACTGAGGCATTATGTAAGATATCCATGTAATAAAAACACTTGTGCCCCCACTCAATTAATATTTTGAATAATAACAATAACAACAAAAACGTCTGAAATCATTGAGGTAGGGCCTCGATAACAGACTGATGTCCTATTTTCTGACGTCAGAAGACCTGGGTACTGGCGCTCTCTGGCACTTCCCATCTGATGGACTTTGTGCTAGTGGGTGAGCTTCAATACCTCCATCTGCGAAAGGGTCACAGTCCCATGCCTGTCCTGCAGGGTGACTGTGGGAATCAAGTCAGATAACTCCAAGTATCTGACAAGAGGAATGATTATTAAGACATATTATTGTTATTACCGGGAACAGTATATGATTGAACATAAGTAGTAGATACATTTTCACTCTTCAAGGCATGGGATAGAACCAATCTAATTCAACTTTCCCCAATACAAGATTCATACTCAAACATTCCAACTTAATCAAGGGCCTTGGAGGAGAAAGGAGAGGAAGAGGAGGAGAAAGAGGGCAAACAACTCACCGACACAAATGCTTGAGATTTGGTTTCGTTCAGCTGAAGTTGCAATTTCTTTTCATTGTCGTAGACTCCATAGAGTCTCTTGGACCAGGTTTGAGGGACTCTACTCTTGAATTTTAATGAGCTATATAAAGCAAATATCCTCTGTAAATCTAGGACCAGGCAGCTGCAGTTGTAGAAGATGACACCAAGTTCTTTCATCTGTGAAATTAAAATGGAAACCATCAATGCCATGTGCCTCTGACGGTGTGATTTTCAGAGAAAGAAAAAAAAAAAAGAATGCATAGGAATGCAGTAGTTACGACACCTTTTTTCGCGCATTTGTCGTTACACAGAAGTATGTAGAAAATAGTCACATTATGATATATAGAACTGATAGGTTACACAACTGCTTAAATATTTAAGTAGACCTTTGGTTTACCTTTTGCATTTGGGCTCTTACAGATAACTTTCCCATATTCAGCTACACTTTTCATACTGGCTCTTCAGATTTGTTTCCTTAACACTATTTTTTTTTGTGTGCAGGAATCCTTAAATCATGCAACAAGAAAAAGGTTGATTTTTAATTGCAGCAAAACAGAATGGTTACAATCCTGGATGCTGGAGTCAGATTGTTTGGAATCAGGTTCTAGCTCTACAGCTTTCTCTTTGGGCATCAGTTTCTTCCTCCATAAAATGGGGATAATAGTATTTATTTCATATAGTTGCTGTGAGACATAAAATGGTTAATACACATAAAAAGCTTTGAACAGTGCCTCTCAAATGGCAATCATTAAAAACATGTTAGCAATTACTATTCCTATTAACACTGTACAAGCCTCAGAAGTAATAGAATAGAATCTTGCAACAAAGAGACCACAGGGATTATTTTGTCTACTTCCTTTAATGCATGAATGAAGAAAGTAAAGCTCACACAGGTTGAGTATTAATGAAAATACTTGCCCCAAGTTAGAGACTTAGTCAGTGGTAAATTAAGAATTTGGAAGCAGGTTTTCTGACCTGTGATCGAATATACCCAAAAACATAGCTGTACTGGCTTCATCTGAGCCTGGTATCCCTTTGTAAAAATATTACAGATGACTTTTAGTCAATGAAACTCTACACAGTGAAATTTTGGTCATAAAAGGACAGCACACAGGATATACTTACTATACATGACCTGAACACCCGGGGAGGATTTTTTTGGGGGGGAAAGCTTGGCTCTCTAGGGATCTGGGGTGCACTGATATTAAACTCCCTTCCTATTCCTTCATTCCCAACTCAAGAATTTTTACTCAGGGTTATGAGAGAGGTCACCTACCACGTAGGGCTCTGTCCCTCCTTACCCGCTAGGACTTCCCCATACTAGGTGCCGTGGAGATCTTTCCATGTTCATTGATATAGATCTGCCAACATTCCCCAGCTCCACAGTAACCACGGAATAGATGGGCACAAGCTATTTAACCCGAGGATAGACTTGTTCCTGTTTTTTCTCTAATGCAAAAAATCAAGCAATGAGTATCCTTGTATGCATATATCTTTGGCACACTGCAAGCATTTAGATTACTAAGATTATTACTAGATGGACAGACAGTAATTAGAGGTTAAGAAGGGGAAAGGAGATAAAGTGGGGGTGGGCCATACCAAGTATGTGCAGAGGCTTGTAAACAGAGCTGTGTGGCTGAAGCTGAGCTGGAAAGGGGGAACATCTATGTGTGTGAGTGTGTAAATATTTTTTCTGATGGTGAAACGGTGGGGGAGCAGTGATGTGAGCTCCCCAGGGGCCTTGGTCAGGGATAGGCAGTGTGCGCTTTATATGGAAGGTCACAGGGAGGCAGGCGGGCTGGGGGCAGGGCTCTGTTGCTTCCGACTAGAGTGCAGTGGTGTCATCAAAGCTCACTGCGACCTCAAACCCCTGGGCTCAAATGATCCTCCTGCCTCAGCTTCTCAAAGATGTATGCCACGATGCACAGCTAATTTTATTTTTTTGTAGAGATGGGGTCTCGCTATGTTACTCGGGCTGGTCTCGAACTCTTTGGTTCAAGCAATCCTCCCAGTTTGGCTTCTCAACATTCTGGGATGATAGACATGAAGCACTGTGCGTGGCCTGGCTGCTTATATTTATCTTAAGTGGCTCTGAAGACAAGGAAGTGTTAGGCTCTTATTTTTATTTGCAGTGCTGGGCACATAGCATTTGCTCAGAAATTCTATTGAATGAATGTCTAGCCTTTAGAATGAATAAATGGTGGTCAGAGATGAAGACAAGCTTCCTTCTCCATCTAGGAGATGCACCTCTAATCCTGAGCACCTGAATCTAATAAAATCTCTCTTCCAGTGTGAGGGCCCTGGAGTAGCGAACATGGAAATGGCCACGAGAAATCCATCTATCCGTGCCTGCCCCGGAGAACCACCTGGAAGGCTCTCATAAGCCTGGTGCTCAGTGTTCAGTATCAAATACAGGCCTTGCACTGGCCAATGGCCCAACTGTTCTCAAGATATGCTTTCTGCACCCACCAATAATGGGGTGCCCTCTGTACCTAGCAACAGTGGGGTGCAGAGCCTAGCACAGAGTTGTCTTTTGAATGGGGGACTGCCTTAAAAAAATCGACACTATCCAAGCCTGAGTAGAGTCAGAGATAGAACACCAGGGAAGTAGAAATCTAGGGAATCATTTGACTTATATGACCAAAAGGCAAACGTGGTGGCCATCATTCACTTTTCCTATGTTTGAATCTCTCTGGTGTCCTTTGGTTTTTCCATATCAGACCTTTGGTGTTTCCAGGCCATTTGCTCACACATAGAAAACATGTATGTTTGGAAACCTCTGTCCAAAGCCTGGATAAAAATATGATATTTCCTTGGCTGTGAGTGGTGGCTCACACCTGTAATCCTAGCATTCTGGGAGGCTGAGGCGGGAGGATCGCTCAAGGTCAGGAGTTCAAAACCGGCCTGAGCAAGAGTAAGATCCCTGTCTCTACCAAAAAAATAGAAAGAAATTAATTGGCCAACTAAAAATACATAGAGAAAACTAGCCAGGCATGGTGGCGCATGCCTGTAGTCACAGCTACTTGGGAGGCTGAGGCAGAAGGATTGCTTGAGCCCAGGAGTTTGAGGTTGCTGTGAGCTAGGCTGACACCACAGCACTCTAGCCCGGGCAACAGAGCAAGACTCTGTCTCAAAAAAAAAAAAAAAAAAAAAGGTATTTCCCTATCCACCTCTTCCCTCAGAATACCCATGCCCGGGTCCTCATGTGGAGGTCATGCACTCTCTGCAGTGGCTGGAGGCAGACCAAAGCCAGCAGCAGTGGCACGGAACAAAGCAGCTGCCCTCACTGTCGCTCCAGATCTGTGGAATGACATTAACTGTCATAGCACTACTGCAGCCTCCCACTATTTGAAGAAAGGCAACGGCTCTTTGATACGACGGGACATGATTATTCTGGATAACTATTATTTTGAAGACTGACATCCAGAAGGGTGCCGGGTGGCAACTCTGGTGGCTCTTCCCTGCGCAGGAGGCACAGGAAGCAGAGAGACCAGCATGACCCAATTAGGACACAGCAACTCTGCTCCTGCCTCCTGCCATCTCTGGAGACAGACGAACTTCACCTCTTCACTTCTTCATGTGGACATGGCACACACCATGGGACTGCTACGAAGAACAAATGAAGAGGGGCAGGCGACATTAACTCAGCGCCTGGCTCATACCCCGTTAGCTAATGAAAAACCTGGAAGCATGACATAAAAAATGCTTATTTAATGGCACCATAATTCTGAGTGATTTTTGTCCCTTTGGGTAGGCTCAGATGGAGAGAGGCATATTTATGGCCATTCTCAGCATGCATCATCTCCAAGGCTCGCCAGTGGACCGTTTGTCACCGTCAAGACGCGAGTGAGCTCTGTCTCTGTGCACTCTAGATTTTCTCCAGCTCTAATCTCTAATAACTCTCTTCTCAACAGAGATTTAGTGTTCCTTTCCCCCGCTTGTGTAAACTAAGCTTCTGACAACAAGCTTTTATTTACAATCCCTGACATCATTCGGTCCTGGGGCTGGTTACAGCTTTCGTGTCTGAAGGCAGAGGAAGAAGCCAACCCCACACTCTGGAGTTGGAAAGAGAATTAAACTTCCTCTGAGTAGCATCCTCTCTACCCTAGAATGACTCAAGTCCACTGCTAGTTATACACTATTGGTTCAGCCTGCTGTTGGGGATGGAAAACAAACAACTGGGCCGGGCGCAGTGGCTCACGCCTGTGATCCTAGCACTCTGGGAGGCCGAGGCAGGTGGATTGCTCGAGGTCCGAGTTCGAAACCAGCCTGAGCGAGACCCCTGTCTCTACTAAAAATAGAAAGAAATTAATTGGCAAACTAAAAATATATATACAAAAAATCAGCCGGGCATGGTGGCACATGCCTGTAGTCTCAGCTACTCGGGAGGCTGAGGCAGCAGGATTGCTTGAGCCCAGGAGTTTGAGGTTGCTGTGAGCTAGGCTGACGCCACGGCACTCACTCTAGCCTGGGCAACAAAGTGAGACTCTGTCTCAAAAAAAAAAAAAAAAAGAAGAAAAGAAAACAAACAACTGGATTTTGCTTTGCAAATTTTTCACCCAGAGCAACAAATTCAGGACAGCTTTATGACAAATCTTCCTAAGATGCTGGCAGTGAGAAAAATAACAGAGATTTGGCTTTCTGATGGGTTTCCATGTTCATATCATCAAAGGAAAAAAAAAGGTAAAAGTCCGATTGATTAGCTAAGGTGTCCTTCGAGTTGCCTTAGCCGTAAGACAAGCCTAGCTGCCAGAGATCACCCTCTGCCTGCACGTGGCTGCTCAGCCCTGCCTTGCCCACCTGCAAGGGCGGCAACTGGCCACCCTGCTGGGCCACCCTGGCTTTTTAGTTCAACCTCACAGTTGATTTATACAGTTGCAAGTAGGTTAAACTGGTTGACTGCATGGTCCAACTGTTTGAATAAAGTCAAAGCCGGAGATTTATCGGCTAATTGTTCTTTGGAAAAGATCGATTATTTTTTCCACAGAGTGGGCAGAGTGTTAGCGATGAACCATGGAACCATGAGAAGTGCAAGGCCTCAAACAACGGGAGTAATCTGCCAAGGAGCTGTGATCAAGGTCATTATTTTATGTAAAACTCAAGTTATGTCCATGGTTCCATTTTGTCCCTTGCCCTAGGACATTTTGAAGTGTGGGAGACTTTGCTAGGAGTGTTTG